GTAAATAATAATAATCTCAAATAATGGTAGGGCCCATCATAAGATACCTATAACAACATCAATACTTAGTCTTTGGATAAAAGTATTGACTTGTAAGTGATATTCTTGGTGCAGTGATCAAACATTGATGATAAAACAATGTGTCAACCAATAAACCTTTCTTTGGACTGATTTATTGATAACACATTAAAGAAAATAATCATCACATGTTTATCACCACAAGTGCACATCTAATTATCGACCTTCCTTTAGGCTGATCAATATTCCCATGAATAACACACACAAACAACTTTTAATATTCTAAGTTAATTAATTTCCACAAGAGAGGTTGTTTTGGCAACATATTGCTTCCATTAATTCACCTTCGAATATTATACCTCTCGAAAGAGTCCCTAGTACCAAAATTTGACAAAGAAAACCACTAATTTTGCATATTTTATTTAGTTTTATATTTTAGAGATCCTAAGGGTTAATAATTCAAGACTCTAGGGGGCAAAATTAACCAATTCAAAACTTTAGGGGCAAAAAATTAACTGATTTAAAACTTTAGGGGTCAATTTGAACAAACTTTAATAACCCATATTAATTAATTTTTAAATTTTAGGGATTAAATTATTAAGCCCAAAACTTAAAGGCCCAATTTGGATGTACTTTAAACGTTAGGGACTGAAACCTTATTATAACCCCAACCCTAATTGCAAGCAGGGGTCTCAACTTAATCAATTTACATGTCAAGCCCTTGCTTCCAAATCTCACCCAAACCAAAAATCTTAGAGAAAAAATTCTTTTCGTTCTTTCTTCTTTGGCGGCGCATGCTGGTTGCGCACTGGAGTAGTGGCATCGGCACGACAGTGATGCCCATTACTACTACGGCTTTGCAGCAGCACGCTGCTTCCCATTGACCGGAATTAAATTTTTTTTTTTTATCTTGAAAAAAAAACTGTTATATGAAATCCTCAATTCCTCAAACATTTTCATTTGAATTATGAAAGACAACAAGAAAAATATGCCGTAAAATTTTTTAAATTCAACAAAATATAGATCCGAAATTGTTAAAATTGAAAACATTGAAAATATTGTAAGAACCAAATTTCAAAACCTTGATTCTCAATGATTCAACATGAAAAAAGGCTCTCATACCACTTGTAGGAGAAATTATTACTGTCATTATCACTGGATCTTTCATGTTGGATCATCAAGAAATTCAAGAATTATAGTAGAAGTGCACCTGAATTAGACATGGTTAATGCAATCTTTAAATCTTGCGGTTTAGTCTTCTAAATCAACACCCAGCCCTTAATTCTCTCTAGTGATGGGTGGCAGAACAGAATGAGCAAAATCATGTAATTTGGAGGCCATAATCGTATTTATATAGTGATGCCCTTTGACCTAATTCGACCCATCATAAAACTAGGAACCTCCCGATCTCTATACATAAAAAACCCACACTTTAATTTGATGCATTAAAGCCCAAAAATCGAAGTCTTATCAGATTACTTTAAATGGATTTAACCGAATTCAATGACCTTTGTTTAATACACAATGATTCACACATATAAGCCCATATGATTGTTCAAAATTTCTTACAGGGCTTTCCCTCTATTTCCTAACGATAATGTGATGTAATGTCATATAATTCATTTAATCAAAGATATCAAGTGCGGTCATCTAGAACGATGCTAGATGACTTGAGTTATGTTGTCCAAAATTTACTATCAAATTTGCTATCCACCCAATGAATGATTGACACTTCATTTTAAATTAACATATCCAACTTTTTCTCTAGCTGCCACTTGTACGTAAAATTATGTGACATTTTAATATAAAAATGATGTATTAAATATTGTATTGGTGAATAGCAAACTGCGTGTGATAGCAATATTCTTGCAAGGGTAATGATTTTTAGCTCCATTGGATGTATTAATTGCCTCTGTTAGTTCATTCATTATGCATTTATGTAAATTTATCTATGAATCACTCAATTTTTCTCCTTCTTCTTTCTCCCCCTCCCTCTTTTTTTGTTTTGCTTTCTAGGTTTTTAATTAATTGGACAATATATACATCATCCTCTAGGGATCAATAACGAAAGGTTACGCAACACAATGATTTCAATTAGGTTCGTCATGAATAATTTTAAATTAACATATCCAGGTTTTTTTTTACATGTTCTACACTTATTTTTTGGTGTAAATTTTATTATTTTCTCTTTGCATTTCAGCCTAAAATCGTGGTCCCCTTATAGCAAAAACATGGAAATAAGAAGGACTGAAGCTGTACTTATTTTTCTCCCAATTAACGACAACAATATCAAAATTCACTAATGTAGAAGAAAAACATGACTTAATATTTGATGAATTGTTTTAAAAAAATCAATTAATATGATGATGAACAATCACCAACAAAAATCAGTATCTAAAATTAAGAACTATAAAGAAATTGTCGGACAACCTTTAAACTGTTGCTAGACCATGTAACTTGTAATTAAATGCATTCAGCAACTCCTTTGTTGGACCATCGAAATAAGTCTTCTGCAATTCCATAAAAGATTTCATAATCAATAATATATCGGAACCCGCTAGATGACTTTTTCGGCAATTCTTTCAACATTCAAGCTCTTCGCTACCCTCTCAAGGCTACCATGCACCCATCGATATCCCATTATCTGCTTTATACTAAACACTTTTATCCCAAAATACATCCGTACCAATTGCATAAATTGCGACGAATCATCAGGGGAATTCCGATGGAACAATTTTTTTTTACCAAGAATCCGAAATCATACGTGCTGTGAAAAGATAGCCATATTTGATTTCCTCCCAGCCATCTCGTTGCTATCGAAAGTCCAAAAGCCATAAACTAGAAGGCAAAGTCTGTGGAACTTATTCCTATTAGCTTGTTCATGAAAAAATCGATGCCTTTGTGCTTAAGCAGAGCAATGGATTTCGGGTTTCGGAGATCTTCTTACTCATCAAAATCTTTGAAATTGAACTCCCATATGAAGCAGAATTTAGTCCCAAAGTCAGGGAGATTTTCTTTTGGATTGAATAACGTGAGGCCCAGCTAAATGAGCTTCATACCATCTACGTTCTTTTTCATTATTGTGAAGTTTTGTGAGGGAGAAAGAAAAGAACGATGGAGCTGGCGATAACGGTAAATTACTCTGGGAAACTCAGTGTCCATAGAAGCGTATGGAAAGTAGGGAAGAATTCAATAAATCAGACTAAATTCTTGTTCCAAATTGTACAGCTAAACTTGTTGTAGTCTGATCATCTGAGCCATATTTGTAGTTTATGAACTAGAAAAGACTATTTGAGAAACACAATTTACTGATTGTGGACGGTTGTTGGGTAGAAGATAACTTATATTAGTTTGTACGGTATTTCTTTTTTGTGTAATTTTGAAGAAGATCTAAGCGCATATATAAAATTTTTATCTCGTAATCCAATTCCAGTTGTGAGGAGGATAAATTTGATATAACTAGATAAATAGTACGCTTTACATATGATGATAAACAATCACCAACAAAAATCAGTATCTAAAATGAAGAACTACAAAGAAATTTTCGGGCAGCCTTTAAACTGTAGCTAGTCCATGTAACTTGTAATTCCATAAAAGATTACATAATCAGCAATCTATTGGAACCCGCTTGATGACTTTTTCTGACAATTTTTTCAACATTTGAAATATTTGCTACCCTCTCAAGGCCATCGTGCACCCATTGAAATCATATTATCTACTTTATATCAAACACTTTTATGCCAAAATACATCCTTACCAATTGTATGAATTGCGATAGATCATCGAGTAAATTCCATTGGGACAAAATTTTTACCAAGAATCCGAAATCATACGTGCTGTGAAAAGTTATCCATGTCCAATTTCCTCCAGCCATCTCGTTGCTATCGAAAGTCGAGAAGCTATAAACAAGAAGGCAAAGTTTGCGAAACTTATTCCTATTAACTTGTTCATGGAAAATCGATGCCTTGGCGCTTAAGCAGAGCAATGGATTTTGGGTTCTGGAGATCTTCATCCATGTCAAAGTCCATGAAATTGAACTCCCAGACAACGTAGAATTCAATCCCAAAGCTAGGGAGATTTCCTTGTGGATCGAACAACGAGAGGCCCAACTAAATAAGTTTTATAGCATCTACATTCTTTTTCACGATTAGGTATTTTTGTGAAGGAGAAAGAGAAGAACGATAGATATCGGGATAATGATAAATTACTCCGAAAAACTCAGTATCCATAGAAGCGTATGGAAAGTAGGGAAGAATTTGATAAATCAGACTGAATTCTTGTTCTAAATTTTACTGCCAAACTTCTTGTATTCTGATCATCCGAGCCATATTTGTAGTTTATGAACTAGAGAAGACTATCTGATAAACACAATTTACTGATTGTGGGCGATTGCTGGGTAGAAGATAACTTATATTGGTTTGTACGGTGTTTATTTTTTGTGTAATTTTGAAGAAGATCTTAGGGTATATATAAGAGTTTTGTCTCGTAATCCAATTCCAGTTGTAAGAAGGATAAATTTTATATTACAAGATAAATAGTACACTTTACATGTGACGAGGAACAATCACCAACAAAAATCAGTATCTAAAATGAAGAACTATAAAGAAATTGTCGGGCAGCCTTTAAGCTATAGCTAGTCCATGTAACTTGAAATTAAATGCATTCAACAACTCCTTTGTTGGACCATCAAAATAAGTCTTCTGTAATTCCATAAAAAAATGCATAATCAGCAATCTATCGGAACTCGCTTGATGACTTTTTTCGACAATTCTTTCAACATTTGAACTCTTTGCTACCCTCTCAATGCCACCGTGCACCCGTTGAAATTCCATTATCTACTTTATGTTGAACACTTTTATGCCAAAATACATCCTTACCAATTGCATGAACAGCGATAGATCATTAGGCAAATTTCGTCGGGACAAAATTTTTACCAAGAATCAGAAATCATACGTGCTGTGAAAATTTATCCATGTTCGATTTCATCGTAGCCATCTCGTTGCTATCGAAAGTCGAGAAGCCATAAACAAAAAGGCAAAGTCCGCGGAACTTATTCCTATCAGCTTGTTCATGGAATAATCGATGTCTTGGCGCTTAAGCAGAGCAATGGATTTTGGGCTTTGGAGATCTTCGTCCACACCAAAGTCTATGAAATTGAACTTCCAGATGAAGCAGAATTCAATTCCAAAGTCGGGGAGATTTCCTTGTGGATCGAATAACCTGAGGCCCAACTGAATGAGTTTCATAGCATCTACGTTCTTTTTCATGATTGAGTAGTTTTGTGAGAGGAAGAAGAACGATGGAGCTCGGGATAATGATAAATTACTCCGTGAATCTAAGTATCCATAGAAGTGTATGGAAAGTAGGGAAGAATTCGATAAATCAAACTTGTCATAGTTTGATCATGTGAGCCATATTTGTCGTTTATGAACTAGAGAAGTCTATCTGAGAAGCACAATTTATTGATTGTGGATGGATGTTGGGTAGAAGATAACTTATATTGGTTTGTACGGTGTTTCTTTTTTGTGTAATATTGAAGAAGATCTAAGGGTATATATAAAAGTTTTGTCTCGTAATCCAATTCCAGTTGTGAGAAGGATAAATTTGATATTACAAGATAAATAGTACGCTTTAGATATGATGAGGAACAATCACCAACAAAAATCAGTTTCTAAAATGAAGAACTATAAAAAAAATTTTTGGCAGCCTTTAAACTGTAGCTAGTCCATGTAACTTGTAATTAAATGCATTCAGCAACTCCTTTGTTGGACCATTGAAATAAGTCTTCTGCAATTCCATAAAAGATTGCATAATCAGCAATCTATCGGAACCCCCTTGATGACTTTTTTCGATAATTCTTTCAACATTTGAACTCTTCGCTACCCTCTCAAGGTCACCGTACACCTGCATTATCTACTTTATTTCGAACACTTATTCTAAAATACATCCTTATCAATTGCATGAATTGTGACAGATCATCAGGTAAATTTCGTTCGGACAAAATTTTTACCAAGAATCCGAAATCATATGTGCTGTGAAAAGTTATCCATGTCTGATTTCCTCCCAGCCATCTCGTTGCTATCGAAAGTTGAAAAGCCAAAAACAAGAAGGCAAAGTCCGCAGAACTTATTCCTATTAGCTTGTTCTTGGTAAAATCGATGCCTTGGCGCCTAAGCAGAGCAATGGATTTCGAGTTTTGGAGATCTTTGTCAATGCTAAATTCCATAAAATTGAACTTCCAGATGAAGCAGAATTCAATACCAAAGTCGGGAATATATCCTTGTGGATCGAATAACGTGAGGCCCATCTGAATGAGTTTCATAGCATCTACGTTTTTTTTCATGATTGAGTAGTTTTGTGAGGGAGGAAGATTCGAGAGATGGAGCTCAAGATAATGGTAAATTACTTCGAAAAACTCAGTATTCATAGAAGAGTACGGAAAGTAGGGAAGAATTCAATAAATTAGTCTTATTTCTTGTTCCAAATTGTAATGCCAAACTTGTCGTATTCTGATCATCCGTGCCCCTTTTTTTGGGTTACGAACTAGAGGACTATTTGAGAAACACAATTTACTTATTGTGGACGGTTGCTGGGTAGAAGATAACTTATATATGTTTGTACTATATTTCTTATTTGAGTAATTTTGAAGACGATCTAAGGGTATATATAAGAGTTTTGTCTCGTAACCCAATTCCAGTCGTGAGAAGGATAAATTTGATATTACAAGATAAATAGTACGCTTTACATATGATGAGGAACAATCACCAACAAAAATCAGTATATAAAATGAAGAACTATAAAGAAATTGTCGGCCAGCCTTTAAGGTTAGCTAGTCCATGTAACTTGTAATTAAATGCATTCAGCAACTCCTTTGTTGGACCATCGAAATAAGTCTTCTGCAATTATGCATAACCAGCAACCTATCGAAACTCATTTGATGACTTTTTTCCACAATTCTTTCAACATTTGAACTCTTCGCTACCCTCTCGAGGCGACCGTACACCCGTTGAAATTCCATTATCTACTTTATGTCGAACACCTTCATGCTAAAATACATCCTTACCAGTTGCATGAATTGCGATAGATCATGAGGCAAATTCTGTTGGGATAACATTTTTACCAAGAATCCGAAATCATACGTGCTATGAAAAGTTATCCATGTCCGATTTCTTTCCAGCCATCTTGTTGCTATCGAAATCCAAGAAGCCATAAACAAGAAATCATAGTCTGCGAAACTTATTCCTATTAGCTTGTTTATGAAAAAATCGATGCCTTGGCACTTAAACAGAGCAATGGATTTTGAGTTTTGGAGATCTTCATTCATGCCAAAGTCCATGAAATTGAACTTCCAGACGAAGCAGAATTCAGTCCCAAAGTCGGGGAGATTTCCTTGTGGATCGAATAACGTGAGGCCCAGCTGAATGAGTTTCATAGCATTTACGTTCTTCTTAACGATTGAATAGTTTTGACAGGGGGAAAGGGAAGAACGATGGAGCTCGGGATAATGGTAAATTACTTCGGGAAACTCAGTATCCATTGAAGCATATAGAAAGTAGGGAAGAATTTGATAAATCAAACTTATTTCTTTTACCAAATTGTACCGCCAAACTTGTCGTAGTTTTATTCATCCGAGCCATATTTGTCGTTTATGAGCTAGAGAAGACTATCTGAGAAACACAATTTATTGATTGTGGACAGTTCTTGGGTTGAAGATAACTTATATTGGTTTGTACGGTGTTTCTTTTTTGTGTAATTTTGAAGAAGATCTAAGGGTATATGTAAAAGTTTTGTCTCGTAATCCAATTCCAGTTGTGAGAAGGATAAATTTGATATTACAAGATAAATAGCTTTACATATGATGAGGAACAATCACCAACAAAAATCAGTATCTAAAATGAAAAACTATAAAGAAATTGTCGGCAAGACTTTAAGCTGTAGCTAGTCCATGTAACTTGTAATTAATTGCATTTAGCAACTCCTTTGTTGGACCATCGAAATAAGTCTTCTGCAATTCCATAAAAGATTGCACAATCAGCAATCTATCGGAACCCGCTTGATGACTTTTTCCAACAATTCTTTCAACATTTAAACTCTTCGCTACCCTCTCAAGGCCATCGTTTACCCGTTGAAATCCCATTATCTACTTTATGATGAACACTTTTATGCCAAAATACATCCTTTCCAATTGCATGAATTGCGACAGATCATCAGGTAAATTCTGTTGGGGCAAAATTTTTAACAAGAATCCAAAATCACACGTGCAGTGAAAAGTTATCCATGTTTGATTTCCTCCCAGGCATCTCGTTGCTATCGAAAGTATAGAAGCTATAAACAAGAAGACAAAGTTTGTGAAACCTATTAGCTTGTTCATGGAAAAATCGATGCCTTAGCGCTTAAGCAGAGCAATGGATTTCGGGTTTTGGAGATCTTTGTCCATGTCAAAGTCCATGAAATTGAACTCCTAGACAACGCATAATTTAGTTCCAAAGCTGGGAGATTTCCTTGTGGATCGAAGCATCTACGCTCTTTTTCACGATTGAGTATTTTTGTGAGGGAGAAAGAGAAGAACGATGGAGATTGAGATATGGTAAATTACTCCAGGAAACTCAATATTCATAGGAGCCTGTGGAAAGTAGGGAAGAATTCGATAAATCAGACTGAATTCTTGTTCCAAATTGTACTACCAAACTTATTGTATTCTGATCATCCGAGCCATATTTGTAGTTTATGAACTAGAGAAGACTATCGAAGAAACACAATTTACTAATTGTGGACGGTTGCTGGGTAGAAAAAAAAACTTATATTGGTTAGTATGGTGTTTCTTTTTTGTGTAATTTTGAAGAAGATATAAGGGTACATATAAGAGTTTTGTCTCGTATCCAATTCTAGTTGTGAGAAGGATAAATTTGATATTACAAGATAAATAATACGCTTTACATATGATGAGGATCAATCACCAACAAAAATTAGTATCTAAAATGAAGAACTATAAAGAAATTGTCGAGCAGCATTTAAGCTGTAACTAGTCCATGTAACTTGTAATTAAATGCATTCAGCAACTCCTTTGTTGAACCATCGAAATAAGTCTTTTGCAATTCCATAAAAGATTGCATAATTAGCAATATATCGAAACTCGCTTAATGACTTTTTCCGAGAATTCTTTCAACATTTAAACTCTTTGCTACGCTTTCAAGGCCATCGTGCACCCGTTGAAATCCCATTATCTACTTTATGTCGAACACTTTTAAGCCAAAATACATCCTTACCAATTGCATGAATTGCGCTAGATGATCAAGCAAATTCTGTTGGGACAAAATTTTTACCAAGAATCCGAAATCATACGTGCTGTGAAAAGTTATCCATGTCCGATTTCTTCCCAGCCATCTCGTTGCTATTGAAAGTCGAGAAGCCATAAACAAGAAGGCATAGTCTGCGGAACTTATTCCCATTAGCTTGTTTATGGAAAAATCGATGCCTTGGCGCTTGATCAGAGCAATGGATTTCAGGTTTTGGAGATCTTTGTCCACACCAAAGTCCATGAAATTGAACTTCTAGACGAAGCAGAATTCAGTTCCAAAGTCAGGGAGATTTCCTTGTGGATCAAATAACGTGAGGCCCAGCTGAATGAGTTTTCATAACATCTACGTTTATTTTCACGATTGAATAGTTTTGTGAGGGGAAAAGAGAAGAACGATGGAGCTCGGGATAATGGTAAATTACTCCGAAAAACTCAGTATCCGTAGAAGCGTATGGAAAGTAGGGAAGAATTCGATAAATTAGACTTATTTCTTGTTCCAAATTGCACTGCCAAACTTGTCGTAGTCTGATCATCCGAGCCATATTTGTCGTTTATGAACTAGAGAAGATTTTCTTAGAAACATAATTTACTTATTTTGGACGGTTTTTGGGTAAAATATAACTTATATTGGTTTGTACGGTGTTTTTTTTTTGTGTAATTTTGAAGAAGATCTAAGGGTATATATAAAAGTTTTGTCTCGTAATCCAATTCCAGTTGTGAGAAGGATAAATTTGATATTATAAGATAAATAGTACGCTTTACATATGATGAAGAACAATCACCAACAAAAATCAGTATCTAAAATGAAGAACTATAACGAAATTGTCGGGCAGCCTTTAAACTGTAGCTAGTCCATGTAACTTGTAATTAAATGCATTCAACAATTCCTTTGTTGAACCATCGAAATAAGTCTTCTACAATTCCATAAAAGATTGCATAATCAGCAATCTATGGGAACCCGCTTGATGACTTTTTCCGACAATTCTTTCAACATTTAAACTCTTCGCTACCCTCTCAAAGCCACCGTGCACCCGTTGAAATCCCATTATCTACTTTATGTCGAACACTTTTATGCCAAAATACATCCTTACCAATTACATGAATTGTGACACATCATTAGGTAAATTCCGTTCGGACTAAATTTTTACCAATAATCCAAAATCATACATGCTGTGAAAAGTTATCCACGTCCAATTTCCTCCAAGGCATCTCATAGCTATCGAAAGTCGAGAAGCTATAAACAAGATGGCAAAGTCCGCGGAACTTATTCCTATTAGCTTGTTCATGGAAAAATCGATGCTTTGGCGCTTAAGCAAGGCAATGGATTTCGAGTTTTGGAGATCTTCATCTGTATCAAAGTCCATGAAATTGAACTCCCAGACGAAGAAGAATTCAGTCCCATAGTTGGGGAGATTTCCTTGTGGATCAAATAATGTGAGGCCCAGCTGAATGAGTTTCCTAGCATCTACGTTATTTTTCACGATTGAGTAGTTTTGTGAGGGAGAAAGAAAAGAACGATGGAGCTCAGGATAATAGTAAATTACTTCGCGAAACTTAGCATCCATAGAAGCGTGTCGAAAGTAGGAAGAATTCGATAAATCAGACTGAATTCTTGTTCCAAATTGTACTGCCAAACCTGTCATATTCTGATCATCCGAGCCATATTTGTAGTCTATGAACTAGAGAAGACTATCTGAAAAACACAATTTACTGACGTGGACGGTTGCTGGGTAGAAGATGACTTATATAGGTTTGTACTGTATTTCTTTTGCGTAATTTTGAAGACGATCAAAGGGTATATATAAAAGTTTTGTCACGTAATCCAATTCCAGTTGTGAGAAGGATAAATTTGATATTACAAGATAAATAGTACGCTTTAGATATGATGAGGAACAATCACCAACAAAAATCAGTTTCTAAAATGAAAAACTATAAAGAATTTTTTGGCAGCCTTTAAACTGTAGCTAGTCCATGTAACTTGTAATTAAATGCATTCAGCAACTCCTTTGTTGGACCATTGAAATAAGTCTTCTGCAATTCTATAAAAGATTGCATAATCAGCAATCTATCGGAACCCCCTTGATGACTTTTTTCGATAATTCTTTCAACATTTGAACTCTTCACTACCCTCTCAAGGCCACCGTGCACCCGTTGAAATCCCATTATCTACTTTATGTCGAACACTTTTATGCTAAAATACATTCTAACCAATTGCATGAATTGCGACATGATCATCAAGCGAATTTCGTTGGGACAAAATTTTTACCAAGAATCCGAAATCATATATGCTGTGAAAAGTTTTCCATGTCTGATTTCCTCTCAGCCATCTCGTTGCTATCAAAAGTCCAGAAGCCATAAACAAGAAGGCAAAGTCTGCGGAACTTATTCCAGTTAGCTTGTTAATGGAAAATCAATGCCTTGGCGCTTAAGCAGAGCAATGGATTTTGGGTTTTGGAGATCCTTGTCCATGTCAAAGTCCATGAAATTGAACTCCTAGACAAAGCAGTATTCTGTCCCAAAGTCGAGGAGATTTTCTTGTGGATCGAATAATGAGAGGCCTAGCTGAATGAGTTTCATAGTATCTATGTTCTTTTTCATGATTGAGTAGTTTTGTGAGGGAGAAAGAGAAGAATGATGGAGCTCGAGATAATGGTAAATTACTCCGGGAAACTTAGTAACCATAGAAGCGTATGGAAAGTAGGGAAGAATACGATAAATCATACGGAATTCTTGTTCCAAATTGTACAACACATCTTTTGTATTTTGATCATCTGAGCCATTTTTGTAGTTATGAACTAGATTAGACTATCCGAGAAACACAATTTACTGATTGTGGACGGTTGCTGTGTAGAAGAAAATTATATAGGTTTGTATGATATTTCTTTTTTGTATAATTTTGAAGAAGATCTAAGGGGATATATAAGAGTTTTGTCTCGTAATCCTATTCCAATTGTGAGAAGGATAAATTTGACATTACAAGATAAGTAATGCGCTTTACGTATATTTAATTTGAATCATGCTAAATGTACGATTTAATTTGATAATCTTGGTTGATAATTCGCACTTGATAACATCCCATTTATCCATTTTAAAAATTGTTTATCAAATTAATGGTCCAAATTTTGACAACAACAAACCATTATTGTCAAGTATGATTGTACAAATTGCATAATTGATTTAATTTATAGAAATAGCTTTAGATATAAAATGTCGAAATGAACACTGAACAAAAATTCTTTTTCTCATTCCACAAGTAGTTAAAGAAATTTATGTACAAAAATCAAATATTTAACTGCCATCGTTCAAATCGCCAAACCAAAATGCAAAGAATAATTCGTCCGAAAATATATATTACATTAGGGGCCTTCTTGGGAGTTTCTTTTTCACTGTTTCTATTATTTTTTGATGTCACCATTCATGTGAGGTAGAAAAAATCGGTGCTTTGATATTGATTTTGGGTGATATAAGAACTGAAAAAATTATCTAGAAACCTACCTTTAAAAATTAATTTTCATTTCACAAATTAGGTGGTAATTAAGTTTTAATAATTATACTTAATAAAAATTTAATTAACCTAATCTATATATTCACCCGACCCCTAACCCATTTTCTACCTCTTCTCTCTTCTCTATGTGCCATCACACTATACCCACCACCACCCGCCTGCCTGCCACCGAAACCAAGTGATCGCCGCCACCACCACCACCACGACATAAGTAGTGCCCCAGCGATGTTGCTGTGCAAACACTACGTGCGATGAGTTTTAAACTAGCTCGCAAAGGAGTCGTTGCTTCAACTAGCGATGCCTTGATTTGTCGACCGTCGCTGCTACAGCGAGTGACTGCTTGCCACGTTGTCGCTAATGCTTGCTTCACTATTAGGGCTGATGAAAACTTCGACTATCTCCCTAAACAGATTGGTCTCTTGTCCAACTAAGAGGTTTTAGATAAATTCAGGTGGTGGGGACAGTGAGTTGACTGGTGTTGGTGAAGGTAACTTCACGTGGTGGTGGCAAGAATACTGGAGGAGGCAGTAAAGTTACAGATGGTGGTGGCTGTGCGTGCTTGGATTGTTGAGATGACTGCACAGGTAGAGGTCGGGAGAAAACTGGAGGTGGAGGTGATCTCATGGGTGGGGGTGGGGGAGAAAATTGGTTTTGGTATCGAATTTATTGACAAAGAAGATGGAACCAGCAAGGCCTTATCAGATTTTTTGTGATGACAATTTTTTTTTTATCAGATTTGTTGTTCAGCCGGAGTTTTAAGGTGGTTTTTGGTGTTTTGCAAATGGTACCGATGATTTTCTGATCTATGGGACATCCATGAAAGTGCAATTACTTTTGTTACATCCACATTTCGAGGCAAGTAAGTAATAATTTGAGGTGTAATTGCTTGAGCAACTTGAAATAGGGAATGCCCGCGAAAAAGAAAACTGAGATTTCTTTTCGTCGCCGAATTATAAGTACACAACACCAAAGAATTGCTAGGAAAAGTAACACATGGCTTTATCATCAAATACTCAAGGAGAATGATGAAATAATTTAATTGACTACATATAGTTGTATGGTTGTAGTCCATTCCTAGTCAAGTCCTTCGACTTATAATTTAATTATAATATTCGTTGTATGAAAATAACTATATAAAACGGAAGTATAGAGGCAATTTGTCACATAAATCAAAGATTTGTACCTTAATTCTTTACAATTTGACTAGTCTTTCTAATTTTTGTCAATTTTTTGCTCCATATTGATGTCATCGAACTTTAAAAAAATTACCTAGTTAACCATTGAACTTTGTAATTCGTTATTCCATCTATCACTAACTCAGCCGACGATTAAAAATTGACGAATTTGTTGACATGGTTGACGGAATTACCTATGTAGCAGTCTATTCCCTACTGGTGGACCTCATTTTTTAAAATTACTAATGATGTGGACGTAAAGTGAAAAATCATTTATTTGTACAAGTTTCATACGCAAGATGCTGGGAATCAATTTTGTTTATACAAGTTTCATACATGAGAAATAATTCCAAATTCATGATTCAGTCAAACCTGTACCCTTGAATAACAAAATTTGTGTTGCAATACGCACATCATAAGAAATACAGAAATAACCAAATTCAATTTATTACAAATTAAATTCTTGATTACATATGACAACTACTGAATTTGCATTTCAATTCATTGATCCAATAACCAACTCCTGATTAAATATGACAACTACGGCCTAAAATTAGATGTAAATAATTTAAACATGAATCCAGAAAACAAATAACAAAGCTGATTTATCCCTGATATTTATGTATTCAATTCCATCTGATCAAGATATATTTCCCAGCTACATCACTGTATACATTTCCAATTTCTTTTGTATTTCGAGACATATTGGTTTGTTGTAATAACTTCACATAATTCTAGTGAAATGGGGTAAGTTAAGAGATTAGAACCAACTAATATGTTCCAAAATACAAAAGAAGTAAGAAAAGTACAGTGATGCAACCCCTGAAATTATCTAGAGATGAAATAGAGTAAATCAAAATATTAGGGATAAATCAGCTCTTTGTTTTTGTTTTAGGAAGATCATGTCTGAACTATGGAATTGCTGTCATCTCATTTTGGGTTGTAGTTGTGATTTAGGACAATCTTATTGTAAACAGGATAAAAATCAAATAATTAATGTTTAGTTGTAATAGGTTTTATATTTTTTATTCTAATATTTTGTTTAGAATATGATTTTTTTTCTTTATTAAATAGAATATGTTTTTCAATTTAATTTAGATTAGGATTTTTATTAGTTTTCTTATTTTATTTTCCTTATATTAATAGGATTAGGGAATAATTTTTCCTATAAATAAAAAGTCATTGTACACATATTTTTTTTTTTTTTGAGAACAATAAATTATTGTCCAATATATACAAAACAAGATTGTTCCAATATTGTTCTTAATTACTACATAATTCTTATTACAAGAATTTTCCAAACGTTTTTGCACCAAACTGGTGTAGGACAATCTTATTGTAAATATGATAAAAGTTAGATAATTATAATAAGATGTTTAGTTGTAATAGGTTTTATCTTTTTATTCTAATATTTTGTTCAAAATATGATCTTTTTTTTTTATTTTTATTAATTAGAATAGGTTTCTCAATTTCTTTTAGATTAGGATTTTTATTAGTTTCCTTACATTAATACGATTAGAGAATAATTTTGCCAATAAATACAAAGTCATTGTACACTTTTTTGATAATAATCAATTATTATCCAATACATATGAAACAAGATTGTTACAAATGCTTCCGCATCAAGTTGTCATATGGTATTAGGAGTTGATTATTGAATCAATGAATTAGAATGAAAATTCAATAGTTGTCATATGTAATCAGGAATAATAAAATTGTGATAAATTGAATTTGGTTATTTCAGTTTTATGATGTGCTTATTGCTAGACTTGGGCATAGTTAGGGTTGCATTGGTTTTGAGTTCAATCACACCGAACCGACCCAATCTAGTCCGTTTAGATAAATTTCAACCCAAACCATCTTAATCTAGGTGTTGAAACCAAATCAAACTAGTTTGGGTCGATTTGATTTGGTTAGTCGGTTTGGACATTGGTTTAAATTACAAAAAAAAAACACCTACCTATTTTGGATTTAAAAATTCGTTTTCCTATATATAGGCTTTTTTTTTTTTTTTTTTTTGGGGTTTTTTAATTCAAATCATTAATAATAATCAATTATTATCCAATACATATGAAACAAGATTGTTACAAATGCTTCCGCATCAAGTTGTCATATGGTATTAGGAGTTGATTATTGAATCAATGAATTAGAATGAAAATTCAATAGTTGTCATATGTAATCAGGAATAATAAAATTGTGATAAATTGAATTTGGTTATTTCAGTTTTATGATGTGCTTATTGCTAGACTTGGGCATAGTTAGGGTTGCATTGGTTTTGAGTTCAATCACACCGAACCGACCCAATCTAGTCCGTTTAGATAAATTTCAACCCAAACCATCTTAATCTAGGTGTTGAAACCAAATCAAACTAGTTTGGGTCGATTTGATTTGGTTAGTCGGTTTGGACATTGGTTTAAATTACAAAAAAAAAAACACCTACCTATTTTGGATTTAAAAATTCGTTTTCCTATATATAGGCTTTT